TTAATGACTCACTACCTACATTTCAAGATTTATAATATCACATATTAAAAGAAATTGTTTAACCATATATTTTAAAATTTTTAATTATGGTCAAACAATTTCTTTTAATATATGATATTAAAAATCTTGAAATGTAAGCAGTGAGACACTAACTAAAGTAATATTGTAATTTTAAAAATCAATCATAAAAGAAAATGAATTTTAAGTGTTATACATAATTAGTGTAATTGATATTTCTTACTTTTAGTATCTGACTAGATTCTCTAAATTTAGTACAATAAATAATTTTTAACTAGTATATGACCATTGTTTGAAATTTTTGTAGTTAATATTTTTTTTATTAATATTTAATCATAGATTGTGAAAAAATTCATTAAATTTCAAAATTTAAAATATATAGTCAAACAATTTCTTTTAATATGTGATATTAAAATCTTGAAAGGTAGATAGTGAGTCATTAACTAAAGTAATATTGTAACTTTAAAAATCAATAATAAAAGAAAATGAATTTTAAGTGTTATACATAATTAGTGTAATTGATATTTCTTACTTAATTGTTTGACTTGATTCTCTAAATTTAGTATAATAAATAATTTTTTAACTAGTATTTGACAATAGTTTGAAATTTATGTAACTAGTATTTTTTAATTAATATTTGACCATACATTGTGAAAAAATTTCATTACTTTAAAAAACTTAATTTTTTTAAATTTCAAAATTTAATATATATAGTCAAACAATCTTTTTTAATATGTGATATTGAAATCTTGAAATGGTGAGTCATTAAATAAAGTAATATTGTAATTTTAAAAATCAATAATTAAAGAAAATGAATTTTTAGTGTTATACTAATAATTATTAGTGTAACTGATATTTCTTACTTAAGTGTTTGACTAGATTCTCTAAATTTAGTATAATTAGTAATTTTTAAACTAGTATTTGACTATATTTTAAATTTATGTAATTAATATTTTTTTAATTATGGTAAAAAAATTCTTTTAATTTGTGATATTACAAATCTTGAAATGTAGTAGTGAGTCATTAACTAAAGTAGTATTGTAATTTTAAAAATCAATTATAAAAGAAAATGAATTTTAAGTGTTATACATTATTAGTGTAATTGATATTATATTTCTTTCTTTAAGTGTTTGACTAGATTTTCTAAATTTAGTACAATAAATGATTTTTTTAAATAGTATATGACTATTGTTTGAAATTTTTGTAATTAATATTTTTTTAATTAATGTTTGATCATAGATTGTGAAAAAAATTCATTAAATTTTAAAACGAATATAATTAACGATAAAGATAATAGAGAAACGAATATAATTAACGATAAAAATAAATTAAAAACTAGACACGATATATATTAAGACTATACATAAAGTGATATATCGAACAAAATGACATTACTTCACAAAAGATATATATACCTCTTGGTGTGTTGGTTCAACGTCTAGTTTTATTAGTGATGTCGTATTTATATGTATGATGATCAAATTTTCAATTTTATGTAACACTTTGCTCGTATTCAAGATTTGAATATCTTAATTTTAGCCTTATATTTGGTTCTATAGTCAAATTAGTTAGTAATTTGATATATATAAAATATATAGAAAAAAATATGATTAAAGAAAAAAAACATTTAAATTTTTGACACGAGAAAAGTGTCACGTGAATTGACACAGAAAAACCACATGATTTTCCACAATAAAAAGGAAGAATTTGGTTATGAAATTGTCCATTCTTCAAAATCCTTACATAAAACTTGCTAAAACAAACAAACAAAAAGAAGCTAATAACAATGATGGATTCATGAGAAGAATTTGCACTAGTAGAAGAAAGAGAAGAGCTAATGATTTCACCCATTGATGATGATGAAGAAAAAGTAAAACCCATTTTCAGAGTTGCCCATTTTCTTGAACCAACCTTACCCTCTTCCCAAAAACCCCCATTTCTCCCTTCAAGGCCCAAAATTCAAGAATTGATGACAAAATCTTGTCTTTCTTCACTAAATGTGAAGTTTAGAGGTGGGGTTATGTATATGAATGGATGGTGTAAATGGGTTGATGAGTTGAAGCCTTTATATGAAAAAACATGGGAAAAAGCTGGAATCTTTGAAGCTATTACAGCTTCAACATTCAAGGTTCATTTTCAGAGTGATTTGATTCTTGCTCTTGGTGAAAAATGGTGTTTGGAGACAAACACATTTATTTTACCATGGGGTGAATCAACTGTTACTTTGGAGGATTTGTTAGTTTTAGGTGGTTTCTCTGTTTTAGGTCAATGTGTGTTGAAACCTGTTGAAATGGAAGAAAGAGTTGGGGAGGTTTATAAAGTTTTTAGAGAAAAGAAAGTGAATCTTTATCATCATGCCTGGATGGAGTATTTTAAAGGGAAAGGTGGTAATGACCATTTAGAGCATGTTGCATTTTTGACCCTTTGGTTGTCTAGGTTTGTTCTTCCTAAAAATAGTTTTCAAAATGTGGATAAAGGTGTTATCCCTATTGCATTTCATCTTTCTCAAGGTACTCCAATAGCACTTGCCCCTGCTGTTCTTGCTACCATTTATCGGGATTTGAACTTGCTTAAACAGTTCATTATTGTATCTTCGTCGAAGCATACAGAACATAGTAGTGGTTTAAAGTGTATAGAGGATGAGTCGGAGCTTATCCTCCGTGCTCCTCTTCAATTTGTTCAGCAATGGGCATGGGAGAGATTTATCCCTTTGCAGCCTAAGCCTAGTGATGTTTTCTGTGGCGTCCTTACGCTATTGCTGTGAATAATTGGGACGTTACGAGATTTTACAATGATAGGGAGGGATGTGTGATGGTTGGACCAAATATGGAAAGAGAAATCATGATATTTGCTAGACTTATTCGAGCTTCTGAACTAGTTGGAGCTGTATAATCCACATAGAGTATGTATGCAATTTGGATTCGATCAAGATGTGCCCGCTTGTGTGAATCATGCGTGGAGAAATTATGACAGACCAATTAAAGATGCCAACCTCTATATACCTTCTAGGCTCTTCGAGTCAGATATTAGCACACGATACTTGGAGTGGTGGAAGGACCAAAACGTTGGATCAGACAATTCTTTTTAGCGTGTAAACAAGGGAAAACGGTCTACAACTCATGGAAGGATTCCAAGACTATCGTGGGGACACAACGAAAAGTTGAATGCCTCTGTATGTCATGAATTTGTGCAGAAATGTGATGAGGTTAAAACAGACGGAACTCAAAGGGATAAATCTTCTTCAGCTTTGAATGATGGAACTCGAACTCCCATCCAAGGGAAGGCCTTAATAGAATCAAAACCGATAAAATCAGAGGAATTAGATGGAGATGAGGCATATAAAGTTAAAGAAATGGTGACACTAGAGAGCAAGGATATCAACGACAAATTAGGTGGTTGTAAGGTCAACTTGCCTGATCGTTTGGAACTTCCAAGTGAGGGTCCAAAAGCAAATAGGTGCGATGGTAGATATGCAGAATTTTCGAGAAGTGGTATTGCTAAAATGAGTTTGCAGATAAGAAATGATCCAGTGGAACCACATAAGGTAACTACAAATGTTATCAATAGGACTGAAGGAAATATGCAGATGGAAAACATTGAAATGATCGATATTGCGAAACTTGAGAGGAGGATTAAAAACCTTGAAAACATCAATTCTGGAAAGGTTCCAGTGCCCAGGAAAAGGTGAAAGCAAGACAAAGCTAAAAATATAGTGTTGATGCTTCTCTAAGAAGTTGTTTAGTTTTCTCTATTGATTATTTCACGAAGACATATCGATATGATACTCTCTCGTTCTTCTCTTGCTAAGAACAATTTCATTGAACTAGTGGAATGAATTACAATTATCTCAGCTTTACAATTGTATTATGCTTCATATCACTAATTTAGTTTGTTTAGATCTTTCTCACTTTTCTGCTCTGCCTTCAAGACTGTAACAGGCTCGACGAAAGCAATTTTGCGTAGTGTAGGGTTCCTTAAAAAATGGGAACACTCTCTAAGCACAAGACTTTCTCCATTCCCGGAGCATGAAGCTGAAACTTCTTGTTAAGGATGGTAGGATCGTTAAGAAATCATCACCAACTTAATCAATATATAAGATTTTTCATAAAGAATCTCGAATATTCATAGAGTTGTAGCAAATAACAGAGGATTTTAAGACGGTCCTTACTTTGCGCGCAATAATAAAATTCATGTTTTGAATAACCAATTGTGTGTAATTCTATTTAATAAAAATTCTCAATACTTGTTCATCCTGTCTCTGGCTCTCCTCGACCCCACTATAGCCAATCCCTCACATCTCCTTATTGGGGCATCACACATCACCTCTTCACACAGACAAACCACCTCAATCTCCATTCCCTAATTTTGTCCACCACGGAGGTTACTCCTACTTTTAATAGAATACCTTCATTCTCAATCCTATAACTCCGAGTATGTCCACAGATCCATCTCAATATTCTCATTTTTGTCACTTACATTTTTTTGCTTTTTTTATTTATTTATTAATAACAAACATAGAAAATTCTCAATAGGAATAAGTACAAGCAAGGAAGACTAGGTCTTACCTTACCAATTCTAATGAGATATCTATCCTCTACTAATTAACAACCATGAAGAAAATAGGAGTTAGAGACACTAGATATTGTATGATCATCATAAAGTTTATAATACACTCTATGATGATATTACAAGTGAGGATTATTAAGTAATAAAAAATCATAAAAGCCAATCAAGGAGAAAGTTGAGTTATCAACCTCAACCTTTCTTTTATAAATGTATAACTATAAAAGATAGATTGACCTTCTAAAGGAACTTAAATATGTTTCTGTTGTCTCTTACTCTAAAACAATGTCTGTATTTGACAAAGTTATAAAAATTAAAGAATAAAATATTTGTAGAAAAAATTTACCTTACAAAAGGTCTTTTCAGACCAATATTTCTGTTTGTTCTTACTTGCTTTAAAAAAATTGTTTGTGACATAAATGTTTGAGACATGTCAATTACACAACCTATGTTGAAAGGAATTTTAATCCCTTAGAATTCATTTACAGTATTGACATTTGTGATATGAAGTCAACACCATCTCGTGGTGGAAAAAAGTGTTCCATAAATTTTATTGACAATTGCACTAGATACTGTTATGTCTATTTGCTGAATGAAAAGAATGAATGCAATATAAAACTGAACTTGAAAATCAGTTGGATAAAAAGATTGTCATTATTAAGAGTGGTAGATCTGGAGAATATGAATCTTCTTTTGCAGAAATATATTTGGAAAATGGAATCATGCTTTGAATTACTGCACATACTCACCTCAATTTAGTGAAATTGTTGATAGGAAAAAAAAACTGAACTTTGAAGAAAATGTTGAATATCCTACTTATTAGTTCGGATTTACCACAAAATTTGTGGGGGGTGGGGGTGGGGGTGCTATCATTATAGCATAAGAGAACAACAAAAAGTTTGTTTGTTCAGAAAGAGAGAAACAAAAAGCTTTTTTTAAACACTAGACAAAATAGGTGCCTTTTATTAGAAATAAAATCTCAATAGGGATAAGTACAAATAAGGGGGGCTAGAACTTACCTTACCAATCCTAATGCGGCAACAAACCTCTACTAACTAACAAGCATGAAGAAATACGAGCTAGAGAAAACTAGATATTTTGTGATCACCACAGAGTTTGTAATACTCTCTATGATGATATTACATATGAGGATGCCTAAATAGTGCCTATGATTTTCATCTCATTTATGATTTTAAAAAGAATTGATTTGCCATCTAAAGTAACTTTTAGTATTTTGCTTTTGTCTTCATCTTCAAACTATCCAACAACACTTGATACTTCATCACTTCTTCTTGGAATTATTGGATCTTGTTGAATATGTTGACACTGTCATATGATTCTGCTTTGCTAGTCACATTGGTAAGTGCCTTGGAACAAACTCCTCAGTCACGTTGCCATCCCAACAATTCTTTCTTCCATGTTTCTTTTTGTTATTGCGTTGTTGCGTAGGAGAAATATTTGCATCCCTAGCTGCATTCTCAAAGCACTGATCCAACCAATCCTCTTCATCACTTTCCTCATCTCGTAGGTTAGCAAACTTATTTGGGGCATCAGACCTTCCCAATGCATCACTTGTCACTCACAGAAATTTTTTTAACATTAGAACCAACAACTACATGCTGCCTATGATTTTCATCTGATTTATGTGCATTAACATCACCTAATTTCTGTCGAGAATCAACTAGTGATGCACCAACCACAACTCTTGAATTTGTATCCTCCAATCTTTGAGATACACCATGATGTGCATTCAATATAGTAGTTGCACATGTCGAAGAACCAATTTTTATCACATTTTGATTATCCTCAACGACAACCAATTGTGATGCCTCAATAGTTGCCAAAGTTGAGGCATGCTCTGGTTTTTGGACGTGCCCCCCCTCGCCCCCCAAAGCCTTATTAGATTCGTGTTCAATGCATATAGCAACTGAATATTTCTCCATGACATTAGGATCAAATTCAACAGTAGCAATACCTATTCGAATATTGTCCATAGGAATAATTTGATTTCCAACAATTGTTTTGATATTAACTAGATTGTTTTGGACCTCAGCAACACCTTGTGCATTAGATTTTGATGCTTCAGTTATCGACAATACATTGTCATCATCTCTTTGAATAGTTTCTTCCAGTCCCCTCTTCTCATTCAAAATTCTCCTTGCGTCACCCGTATATTTTTGGATATCATGCACAATTTCTTCTTCTGTTACACCTACTTCTTGATTTGGACTATGTTCTTTTTTCAAGATTAGACGACAATTTGTTTCTTCATGGCCTTGATGCTTGCAATTAGTACAATATAGACAAAGATTATCATAAACAATCTCTTGAAAGTGTTCCAAAATCTTACTAGATTCCTCATCCAAATACTAGAGTTTGATTCGTTTAAGATGCTGGTCCAATAGATCAAGTTCAACTTTTACTCTTGCTGTGCTAGGTCTTGATCGAACTTGAGTTGCTTTATCGATTGCAATTGGGCGCCCCACTGCCGATGCAATTGATAAAAGGGATTTCCTAGCAAACAAACTGGTAGGCAAACCTGGCAGGGATAACCAAGCTAATGCTCTTGAAGTTTCTTCCTTGGGATTGAAAGAAAGAGTCCACAGAGAAGTTCTATAATCATATTTCTCACCATTAAGCTGAATATAACCATATTGATGCGATACAACTGATGTATAATCATTATATTGGTTGCAACGAATTAAAATATGTCTTGTACCCAATCAAACATTGACCTTTGATAGCAAATTGACCTGTTAGATTCATGTACCAGTTCCACTCCTTTACCCGTACTCTTGGTATTCATCAAGGCGATTGAATTTGTTCAGACATCACTTTCAATTTCTTTTTTTTTTGGCATTGTTGACCTGCTGCGACATGTTGTCAACCAAGCATTCAACACTTTCAACAACCCAAGCATCATGCTTCACTCCATCTGCCACTACCTTCACACTCTTGGGATCTAATGCCAACTCAACGTATGCGTTAATTACCAAAGGATGTCCTGATTTTCCAAGAAGCTGAACATCACCTCTGGTTCCATTTAGTTGCTACTCATCATCTATAGTCGACGCCACTGTTGTTGCTGCATTATTTTGGCCCTCATCATTAATGTGAACTAGAGTGGGATTTGTAGTCAAAGAAAGTTGATTTTCATTCAAATTTTTCTCCAATGTTTCAGTAGCTCCAACTTTATTCCCCGATGAATGGACATCATCAGCAATCTTAGAATCAATCTGCAGAAAACCATCTTTTTCACTTTTGTTGTTAATGCCCTTTTCTACGGTATCTATAATGCCTAGTCTCACATCATCAACAATGTTGATATTTAACTGCTTCCCTACATCAACTTGCGACTCTAGGACCAAAGTGTTTTGATCCCCTGAAGCCTATTCATGCGCAACTGCTCTGCCTAAGAGCTGTCCAGAATGTTCTTTAGTTTGACACTCCAAATGACGAAGGGTTTATTTCCAGCCCTCTTTTCATCTAATATCTCCCGAGCATCTCCATGATATTTTTTAATCTCAGAGCCTACTTTCGATGCTTCTTCTTGGTTTCTTGCTGCATTATCTCCCAATTATAGTCGACATTCACTTCCTTTGTGGCAATGTGGCATCATTGCAATTTCGCATGTCGTGTACCAATGCTAGTCCAACTCAAATTTCCCAGTAAGTAGCACAACCCTGCTAATAACTATTTCCTGCCATAAACCTCTTCTAATGGCTAATTTAATTTATTTCTCTATTAAAGTAACCAAAAAACACACAGTATATTTCTAATATGTAATGCACATTAATTCGAAAGATTTATTACTTGTAGCATTTCATCCGCAAGGAAAGAATAGAACAAATGAAGAGCAACATACCATTAAAGAGCAATCGAATGAAATGCCCGATGACTCTCATCCATAGTACGATTCCTGATAGGCAATAAAGAGGAAGAAAATGAGATATGCATTGTATAGAAGGTATAATCAAATGTGTTTGTACAGTAACATTCTCCGCATAGTGAAATCCCATTGGTAAGAAATGTAGGAAAACGAATGAGAAATGAAATGCATAGAAGGAAGGTATTATGAAATCTGGTTGTACCATTAGCATTGTAGCCATAGTCAAAGCTAGTGGATGGAACAATTGAACAAGGAGTTGGCTTTTTGAAAGCGCGAAGGGGTTACGGTGGATGGGAAGGTGTGGAATTTTAAAAAATAAAAGTGAATTCTAGGTTGTGGTATTGCCACATCACCGGGTTGAGGTTTTCCTTTCTATATATACTAGTTTTACACTAAATCATATATTTCAAACTGAATAATAGTGTACACGCAAAAGATGTTATTTTTCTTAAAATACCTCCATCTGTCAAAGCATAAATCTATTTGCCGTTGATCATCACCCTCTTCCGCCTGAAACAATTTGAATACAAACATTGAAAGAGTCATTTCGATATTCATGTCCATGAGTCAAAACAAGATATACACTAAATTCAAAAATCTTGTCAATACCTTCTCAAAACATTATAAATCATGCAAAATACTAGTCATCATGTCGCACCACCCATCCTCGATTTGCTCTTGACTGAACTGCAGTATATATATATATAATATATATTAGAGCAAACACTTCTAGCAGACCAATAGTTACTAACGTAGAATTTTATTAGGGCATAATAGAATGGTTCATCACCACATAACAAGCCAGATCTATGAATTGGCTAAGCATACAATAATCAATAATTCTGAAGTCTCTTTTATAAAATTCTGGAATAAAAAAGCATTCTATTTACTTTATCATAGAATGACTAATACAAGAAAAAACTTTTAAAACAAATATATACACATATGTAAAATTATTCACTTATATTGAAAAATAAACAAAGAATTGTCTAGAATTTATTAAAGTTTTTTATGTAGAACCTACTTCAAGAAAAGTTGTGATGTTATGGAATTAACATATATGATTCTACCTGAAGTGTATATTCTCGAACAAATGAAATTTTCTAATCTTACTAGGATGTAGGTTTCAACCTATCGTCATTTACATCCTTAAAAACCATTAATGTATTCAAGAATGTCATTCGAGTGACAACATCAAGCTCATGAACATACCAAAGAAAAAGATTGTGGCGGCCAAATAAAATTAGGGTTTGATGGCTAATGAAAGAGGAGGGAAACTTTTATAGAGCAAAATAGGCCTTGCACTTTTTAAAAGTTTCCAAATTTACCTGTAAGATTTGTATTATTTGTCAATTAGTCCTTTTAAAATTTTTACTAAATGCATATTAGCACTTTTAATTAGCATTAAATATTGTCTTGATATTTGAATATTTTTTAATAATTATTCAAATATCTTAACATAAGAAATATTCTTTTCTTTCATTGTTCCCTTAATGTGAACTCTTCTGAACATTGGTTTTCATATAGAAGTAAATTTATCATCTCCTCCTTTTTGGTGTAGGTAGCCCTATTTGAAAATTTAGGAAAATTTGCCACAAATGATGATGTGTATTACTTAAATTTTACGTGCATGAGCTTTTAGTCCTAAGGTTCGATAAAGAATAACAATTGTAGTAGGCTAACAGTCAATAAAAGAACACAAAATTTTGTGGTGGGAATAACAAAACAAAATATGTCATGTTGTAAGGTTTATATTGTACCATAAGGTACGTATTGATGCTACTTGAACTTTACGTATGCGGTAAGCATTAAGTTGTAATCCCCAGTAGAGGAAAATAGTGAATTGGTGACGGAGATAACAAAACATAATATGAGAATATAGGATTAAGTATATAAAGGGATTCAATATGTAATGCGTATATATCAATAAAAAAATTCACTTATCTACATAATACGATTGCAGCAGGCTGACTATTAACGTAAAATTGGTGAATTTGGTGATGGAAATAACAAAACAAAATATGAAAAATAACATTATACCAAGACTGAAACAATAACTACTACTATTGCATTTCAATTTCAAACAAGTTGGAATCGACAATACCATGTTTCTCCATTTGAATTGATCCTGCAAAATAGCTCCATAACTGTCTTGCAAAAACATGCTAGTGACTACATCTGTAATCTTGACTTTGCATTTGCAACAGCCGCAAACGCTTCAGCCGCAAATGCAAGATTGTTAATGAATATGCAAAACAATTAGAAACCTAAATAGAAGAATGAAACATGATTCAAGTAAATTTTTATTTTTACTGAGATATATAGTTACAAAAGGACCTAAATAGAAGAACAAGCTAGCTAGTAGTACTGTCTGAGTACTAGGCAATAAAGAAGAATATAATATATAACTTCATGAACTAAACAAAAACTTTGTATTAGCACTATAGTTTAGCTTGATTTCACTTTGTCCTGAATATTGGAACCTTTCCAGAATTGATGTTTTCAAGGTTTTTAATCCTCCTCTCAAGTTTCATAATATCGATTATATCATATGTACCGCTCTCTTTCTCATGGTTACCTATCACCATATTGCATTCAGTTATTTGGGTACATGTTGCTGTTTCCACTGAAGCTTTGCTCCTTTCCATGCTTCCTGCATTGCTACTCCCGTTCCCGTCAATGGATGTGTGAACTGTTTCCTCTGCAATGTGCTCCGGAGGAACATCAGGGTAATTCTCCATTTGATGATCAGTTTCGTTTCTCCACCATTTCAAATACCGTGTTGTTACATCCGGTTCAAACAGCCTAGACGGATAGTATAACCTCAAATCAGAAGCAATAGGTCTGTTGTAATTGTACCAGGCAAGTTCTGGACTTGAAGGCGAGCGAGGAATCCATTTTGGGAAGTCTTGATCATACCCAAACTGCATTGCTACCCGATTTGGTCGATAAGGCTCTTGACAATCTAAACCAACAAGCTCAGACACCCTCAAGCATCGAACAAAAGACTCCATATCTTGATCCAAATTTTGCCCTCCAACTATTGTCCACTCTTCATTTTCCTTGTAAAACTTGGGAAGAATTGACCAACCTTCCACAGCCAAGGCGTATGGCCTCCACAGAAAATCTCCCCAGATGCATCAATAGTAGTCCTCAAATTTGTTTCACCCGTTTGTTTCGCATTGTGCCATCGGCCTATTCTCACCCCACTAAC